GGGGACCTTGCCCCCTTGCAGTCGAACATAGGGGTCCGAGAAACCTTAAAAAAGGAAATCAACCTGAATGGACCCAAATGGATCTTCACATGGCCATGGGTTAAAATCCCGTGCCCCCAGTGAACATCCCAACATTAAAATAGGTTCTAAAACGGGTGGTGCGCCTACCCCAAAATGGTACCAACACTGTTTTGACAACCACAGCCACAGTTTCCCCACCACCGAGACCTGCGCACTTTGCGGACGCAACGACTTCGCCGAGGCGCCGATGCCAGGTCCACCGTCGCGGCTTGCGCGGCCACGAGGCTCTTCAGCACCCGCTGAGACACCTGCCGCGTCCGCCCGTTCGCCCCAACCGCCACCGGTTGGAATGGAACAAACACACGGGGGGGCGGGGGGGGGAGAGGGGGAGTGGTTTTTGCGTGGTGTCCTGTTTTTTTTTTTTTTGCAGGGCGCATGTTCTTGGCGCGGTCGCACTTGTGAGGTTTTCGTGGGGTTCTGTGTTTGGGTTCACTGGCTGCTTGTGACAAATGGGCTTCCCTTAGGAACCCCAGAACATGGGCTTGGGTCCCTTCCCTTTCACAAACAAGGTACTCTCAACAAAAGAGCAGAAGGTGAGACAGGGGCGATGAAAACTGCCGCTGATAGGCAGGCAAAGCTACAAAAAACAAAAGCAATCAGGCCAGGGTTCAAAACAAAGAGGGGGGCACTTCCAGGGGCTTTGTGAGTCAAATTGAAAACTTGGTAGCACAACGGACCAAAACACATGCGAAGAATCAAGAGGGCAGATATCCGCACCTGCTTCTGGTTCGGACTGTCCCTCAACCTTTATCTTCAAAGCGTGGCTCACATGAGCAAGGTAGAAGTGCATTCTCCCATACCACAGCTAGGTGCGATCCCGTCAGCAAGAACAAACTTACTCTAATGCAGAGTTCCCCGAGAGAAAAGAGAAAGTCGCCGGCGCTGAAACGGTCTTCCCCACACGGGGGGAGGTTCCTCAAAGTCCACCCATGACCACATTCCAGCTAACTGATAAACTTAACCTTGCTTCAAGGAAAGCCAAAAGGAACTGTGCTCGAGGGTCTCGGGGTCCCCCTTTTTGGTTAAGGGGATGCGTCCCGACGTTTGTGACATCTGCCACATGCGGATTTTTCGGGGACGTCGGGCTTCCGGGGCCAAGGGCCATTTGAGTGGCCCGTAGGGGTCTAAGGCGCCCACACACCAAAAGAGCGGCAGTGGCTGAGGCGGCTCCCCAGGGTGAAGCACCAGCCTACAGAGCGCGGCTCGGCTTTGGCTTCGGGTCAACGGCTCGTTGGAGGGCTCGGCACCCCTTTGCGGGGTTGCCAAAATGGGGACAAACATAATTTTTGGGGGTCCCCCGATTTTGACAGATATCCAAACAGCTCGGAATGTTGTATTCACGCGGTTCTGCCTTATGGAACCAAGAACCTCTTCGTGAATGGCATCGAGTGCAGTGTTGCTAATTCCGTGCCTTTGGTGGGAACAGCAAGCAAACCTATCGGAGGGTGCTGTTGGGCTTTCTGAATTCGGCTTGATTCCGCTCGAGTTCACGTAGCTGGGGGACCTAGTTGACTTCAAAGGGAAAGCGTCACGAGCTCTCGCTGCTTCCTTCCAACCCGAGGCGCCCGCCACCCGAGGTTCTTGTGGATCGTGGGTATCGCGCCCTCCTCCTGGCGCTTCTCGGCGGCGCTTCGGGGGAAGAAAGATCGGCCCCGGACCCATCGGTTGTTGGCGGCCCATAAACCACAAGGTAAAATGAATTTCAATGGCTGAATGGCTGGCTTGAGGGCGTAGAAGTCCAGCCCCTCTTCCTGGACGCCTTGCGTCATCTGCACGAACTGCTCAAAATCAACGAACCCTCCGCAGGACAGGATCTTCGTAGCGCTCGCTCTATGGGTGCATGGGACTGCATGTGTGTTTAATTAAGCGGGAAACAAGAAGCACATCCGGGATGTGCTTTCCGTTTGTCTAAGGACTTTATCTGATTTATAGATTGGCCCGCCTTAACAAGGGGGAAGGAAGTCTGCCCAGCGCTGTTGGTGAAGCTACACTCCGGCACCCTTTCCATGTCAGGAGGTACTGTGCCGGGCGTTCAATAACGAAAACGGAGCTGTGGGTTACTTTGAAGCCAAGTTACTAGCAGAGACAATGCGCAATGTGTTGCCCCTTGTATGTTCCCCCTCCCCCTCCCCCTCCCCCCAAAAGCAAAAACGAAACACCCCAGTTCGTAGACAGAAGGTGTGGGGAATGTTGATGGGAGGGTGCTATACTGGGCCAAACAACTACATACATCATGGCTTCATCCGCCGACCGCCTCCTGAAAAGCGGAGGCGCGTGGGAAGGGTGGCACCCAGCATCACCAGGTAAAGGAGCAGCAACATCGCTAGCATCACAGCAGCACCCTCAGCGCCACCATCAGAACAGCTGTGGAACAAAGCAATAAAGTAAAGGGCCAGCAACATCGCCATTTAGTGATCAGTATGGCGATCAATTGAACAGATCATAAGGATGATGTGAAGGACAGATACTTCTTGGTGTATGGCTGAATGACATCCCCAGCGTCACCTGAGTTTGGCAAACGAAACGCGTTTCCGCTCTTAGCTGTTTACTTGCAGCGGCCGCGACCCCGGCATCACCAGCGCCTTTGGTAGAGAGAACGAGTTAAATAGGCCCTAGTGGTCATGTGTGGGATGCGAAAGGACAACACTTTGTGCATAAAGCCTACCAACAGGTACCAGGTACGTCACGTTTTGAGAAGCATTTCGTTGCAGCTCGAAAGGGGTGCCCCCAAATGGTAGCCTGTTGGTAGCACAGTTCTCTGTTGGGGACACCGTTGCTCGGGAGTCAAACTCTTGTCTACAAGTCGTGGCGCTTTGATGTGTCTTGCGTAAAGGAGCATTGGATGTTGTGAGAGGGGGCGCCGGTACAAGCGCTCTTAGATTTGGCTGTAAAGTGCCCAACAATCAGATTCAATTCTAATTATTGAGGCCCTTCTATTTCCCCTTTGCGGCTGGGTCCCATTTACCCGACAACACCCAGGGTTTCGAATCCCCAAACCACCACTCCAAACCACCAGGTAAGGGTTGCCCCGTTTCTTTGGCACACTGAAACTCATGTTTCTGCTTCCTATGGTGCTGAAAACTCTTGTCGAAACCCTCCAAAGGCTGGTTTTCCATTTTGGTGTCCCTTCAACCACAAGACAGGAATCGCAAAGCGATCACCAGCTAGTCTACCCCAAAATCTATAAAAAAGAAGAACACATCTTGGAGGAGCCGGTTTTCCGCCAAGTTTCCCCAAAACGAAACCGCGAATGAACGGCGAGCGCGTTTTTTGTTTTGTTTTCCCCATTTGGAGGCCTCCTCCGCCAGCGGCAGTACCTCCCATGGCCAGCCGGAACCACAAAAAGGGACACAGCCATAGGGCTGTGGGTCGAAAATAGGTCTAAGACCCAGAATGGAACCCTGGTAAATGGCAAGATGGACTAAAACCTGAGGTCCTTTCAGCTGAATTTTGACCCATACCCATATGGCTCTGTTGCATTTGCTTGGAGTCCTTTTTGTGAATGGCTTGGGAAAGCCAAAAAGGTAAGGAAACAAAGTAGTTCTGATGGGCCAACTAGTGAAGATGCTTGCAAAGCTTCAGGGCTTTGTATAAGCCTTGTTTAACCGGGTCGTAGAACCTACTGAAATGGCAAATGGGAGTTTCGGCGCTACTCAAACCGGCCATGGTCAAGACTCCGAATCTGTGGCTCATGACGATGCTTCTCTTAGGACCCTTTGCATGGTCTAAGTCTAAGTTCCTAAAGGGTCCACGACCATCCCTAGCAACCTATATTAAACGGGTGTATGTGTGCTACTTTTGGGCGGTGGTGCCCTTTAGAGGCAAACCCACAGGAAAACCACATTTTCTTCGGGGGTCCGTATCTTGAGGCATACCCAAATGCATCTCCAAAGCCAGCGTCAATCAGGGCTTGCCCCGGTCTTGGAGGAAGCTTATCTAAAAGTCGCAACCAAAAGGTACGGAGACCAATACTAAAGCCTGCGTAACCCCTGCTAAATCTTCAGCCGTGAAGCCCTGAAGCCCTGAACCGAGGCGGGGCACCAGCAGCGGGACGTTGGACCGGTTCTCCAGGAAGATGGTGGAGCTCAGCTCCAGTTCCATCGCCTGGGTGCAACGCCCCCTCTGCAAGAAGTGGTCTGCGCTTTTTGGTGGGTTTAAGGTGGAAAATCCGAGCTGTTTCAACCAACAAGTCAAACAGTCCAAAGATCGTCATTTGGGTGGATTTGTGTCCGCCACTTTTGAGCGTGTGCTTGCAATTTCATAGCGCCATGGTTGTGGCAAATGTCTTTTTGGCACCAGTGTTTGGGGCTTTGAAGGTCAAAGGGAACCATCCATTTGAGGGTGCCCCCAAACGGAGCAATCCAAATCTTTCCAGTGTGAACATCACCCCGTAAGAAGAAACCTTGATGCTTGTTCATGGAACAGCCAGTGGTGGGATCCGGATCCCTTTCAACACAATGTTCGCGTCAGATTCTAGTACTACTGCAAACAACATCTTCAAACTTAGGTCCACAAGTTGACGCCGAAATTCGTCGCACAAGCTGACGGGCCTCTGCGTCCTTGCGAGGAGCCGCCTGAACGGGGAAACACGTTGGCGACGAATAAGCAAATTGTCAGATGCAAGCGCCCAGGAGCGCGACACAATGGCGGCCCCCCGTTGTGAAGCCCCGCGCCAGACGTGACGCGAAATGACGGCGCAAGAAAACCCCAGGAGACCATTTTCGCCATTCTGTTGACAACCGACGCTGCGCTCCTTGAATCGATCTGGGCGGTGAAACAAGGCACGGTCTGCGGCCTGCTGTGTACAACTGCATGTCCCCTCCAAAGGTCACTCCAACATGGACCCGTGATGTTGAATCCATACCATACCGCCGCAAAAGTGAACTCCATCAAATGGCCTAGGACAAGGTGGATGTTTCGCCAAAGTACAGGACGGGACATAGCTCTGAACCCCTCGAGGTTCCGAACTCTGGTCTGGTCAACTCGACTCTGGAGACACCATGGGCTCCATGCTAATGGTGTCGATCTCCCTTTGGCTCGGCGGCTGGTACAGCAAAGCCTCATCAGACTAAATGGGTGTGCGCTGTTCTGGCGGGAGTTATTCCAGGTTGCTTCTTCAAGGTTGTTGAAAACGAAAGCCCCTTTTTTTACCGGAGGGGCATCACTACTGGGTTCATAGTGGCACCTTAACCAGCCCCCGCCAAAAAGGAATTGTTGGGTGTTTGTATACATCCACTTTACACATGACCTCTCCAAAAGAAAACTCACTTGGAGTTCAAGCAAAAACTAACGGAAACCAACTCTTCACAGAGTCCTCCTGCAGACTTCAATGCTAAACTCAGAAGAACTCAGAAGAAGCCAACCAGGTCGCTGCGCGCGAGGCCTAAGGCACGCCAGTGGCCAAGCAGCTGTGGCAGTCATCACCAGAGCTGCGCCCAGCAAGAAGATTACGACTTCGCTGGTAGACGCCTCCTGCCTCAAGTCTCGCCGCGAACAATGCAGGCCCGGGTTCTTTCTTGGATTCGTTTGAAGCCAACCGGAAAAGGGTGCACCCAAAAAAAGGACACGACCCCTTAACATATGGTGCCTACTTTTCAGATGTCAATGCAAGCAAATACACCAGCATAGACTGAGACCCCAAATAGCATGAGATTTAACCGGAATTGCTCATTTGTCCTGCATCGCATCAATTCCGCAATCACCGCAGCACGTTGCACTCTGACCAATACCAACAACAGAATTCTGACCAGCACCCTGACTGCATCGCCAAAAAGCTCGCAATAAGCCCCTCTCATTTGTGGGGTTTTACTCTCGGACGAAAACCAGACTGTTTTTTTTGTTTTTCCCCTCTTCTGGTTGAAAGGGAAGGGGAAGGAAAACCCCAAAGGAAAAAAATCGAGGAAAACCCCACAGGAAGAACGTCTAGAAGAGGTAAGCCAAGTCTGGCGAAGCCTTTCTGCCTTCTGTGGGAACTGTCTGGACACGCCCTCTCCCCACCACCCACACACTGTATTGTCGTTGTATCAAAGAAAGCGTTCTCGTATGCCCCCCCCTCCCCCTTCCTCTTTGTTCTGGGTGGATGTCACTCCAAAATGTGCTTTTTGCCCGCTCGTTTTGAACGTCACCGTACCAGGCGTGGGACCAGGGTCCAGGTGTTACCAACTTCACTCGACAGTTCGCCGAGCCACTCGTGTCGAAACAGCGCTTCGAGCACTCCGATCACCAGCGCCAGCTGGTCCATCAGAGTCTGCCGCACTGCGCCCACCCGGGCCAGCAGGAAGAACCTCACAGAACCCAAATGAGCGCCCAGTTCACCCCTTGACTTTTGGTTCTATGATAGTGATAACGGCTTTTTTTGGGTCAGTCGCAAAATGGGGACCCCTGTAAGGAAAGCAAAAAACATTCTTTCTGATCGTCCCGACTAGCTTTCCAATAGCCCAATTTTGACCGGAGAGGGGTGTTGGGCTGCTCAAGTGGAGGCTCCGCCACAAAAATGATGGCCCGCTTCTCTTGGCTTGCCAAAAGAAACCAAACATGTATCTCCCCTCTGGTTAAGGATATGGGCCTGTCGCAAAGGGAGTGCCTGTTCGATTAAGGAAAAACAACAGAGCTCTGAGGGTCCCCTGTTTTGAGACTGTCGAGTCCTGGTGTTGTTTCTAATCTAACCAAACATGTATCCCCCGAAAAGATGCTTGGCTCCTGTAGCCCATCCTCCATTCGACGTTCCCTTAGGAGACTCACATTGTGTGTGTGTGTGTTTTTTCTTTTTAAGGCAAAGCATCCTCTGAATCAGCTGGAGAGGATGATTTTTTTATCTGGCCCAACATATCCTTCAAACACCATGAAAGCCACAATGTTTAAGTAACCTCCTGCTGGTTTCTAAATAAAGGGGGCCAGGGTCTGAACCCTGATAGAAAAAACTCCCCGGAGAGGGAACCAGATGAACCCTTTTTACACAGTTTCCCTGTTGGTAACCTCCCAAAGTGGCTGTTTCAATGGACACCACCGGTTAATTGTAACTTTTGAAAAGGAAATCCAGTGACCTTTGCTTGCCAATTTTCTACTGAGGCAAAGCAAGCCGCAAGCGGTGGTGCTCGGAAGAAGCCGTCTACATACGCAAGGGTGAAAGGAAATGGTGCAATTGCCTTCATGTTGGGAAGTGAAGGTGATGACTCAGCTAGTCTTCCAAAGGGGGCACAGAACTACAGATGGGCATGTGTCAAATCGGGGAAACCCCAGTGTCGGTTCCCCTTTGAAAGCCAGGAAAGAGTGTAAGCTGGCTTCATCAAATGGCTGGCATACCTTTAAATCTCAAGGCTAAAGGGCACTATTTTGAGTGTGATGCCAGGGGCAAGCCCTGCCACAACTCCATAGGCCAAGCAACTGGAGTAGATATACCGCACAGCTCCCCAGGAGGGAGAGGCCAAGCAGGCATAGCCACTGCGTCAGACTCACACTCGCCAGGAAAGAATATCCTTGGGTGAAAGCACGCGCCAGATGAACTTGGAACCCGACTTGGCTTCAAAAGGAGCTTCCCTACGACCGATATGTTTGGGCATTCCATGTCAACGTGCAGGGGGGCAAATGTCCACACAGAAAGCCTCCGTTTGCTCAAGTTCTCTGTAAAAAATGGGAACATATTTCCAGTAGCGATGTCCTTCCCTTTCAAACCCACAGGGTTTAACAAAAATTAAACAGGAAAGCCCAAAAAGGGGGAACAACCGCGCGTTTTTTAAGGACTCCGCGCGTGTCGTTTTGGCCGGGCTCCAAGGCGCCGCCGCCGCGGCTCAGCCGCTTGGGATCCAGCAGCTGGGGCGTCACACCCCGGCAGTCCAGCAGCAGCGACAGCGCGGCCTTGGCTCGGCGGCTCGGGTTCGGACCAAAAAAAAGCGACGCAAGTCCAGGAACCCGGGGAAACCACAAGGGCAACCACTTTTTTTGGAAAAGTCTCCCTAAAAAAAAGAAGGGGGACACAATTCTAGGTATCCTTTTTGGACAAATAGAGGTTGTAGCACCCGCCGGCCACGGAGGCTCCCCGTGGAAATGATACATATCCACGGCCTGAAGGTTGACCGCAGAGGCAGAAACATAGATATCCTTTTTGAAAAATAGATGGGTTCCCCTGGTAAATGGAATCAAACCAAAATCTAAGCCAGTGGAACCCATCTATTTATAATCAAGCTAACCCAAAAAGGACGTCTATGGGCCGAGCCGGGCGTGGAGCCGCTTGGAGCAGTGGTCTTGACCCCACGAAACTTCGGGGAAAGCGGGCTACAGCTCATTTGACTACACGCCGTTGATTTGCTGTTTATTGCTGCACCATATCTTCAACGATGGTTCAACAGGGGGTAGCCTCAAAATAACAATCACATCAAACAATGGAAGGTATGGGTCGACTGGCTTCCTTCCCTATGCACCCCCTTTAGACAATTGACGAAGCGCTGTTTCGGATCAAAGATCTGCGCACGGTACTGACATGCTGGAAACACGGGAACCTCCTAGAGAAAGGGGTCTTCCCAACCCCCAACTCGGGGGTTACCTGTTAAACCCTTCTTTTAGAAAATCGAGGGACTAGAACCACTCAAGGGTCACAATGTTTCCCCATGGCTGCCCCCGAAAGAGGGTCAACATGGACCAACACAGGGCTCTCAAACTGCGGGCATATTTCAACTTGGGGGATCCCATCCAGGTGATTGGCGCCCAAATCCCCCAGCTATCTCAACTCATCTTGCCCTCAATGCGCGGTGTTGAGAGAGCGTGTGTGGGCATGTTAAAGGGCTGAAACACTCAAATCAACAACGCAAATCGCATGGTTTTGCAAACCAACAAACAACAAATCGCAGATTTTTGAACCCTCGGACCACTCCAATCACCCAACTGGGGACAATTCGCCTGGCCCACTCGAGCCCGAAGAAGCATACATGGCCCCGGCGCCGCCAGCGCCGCGCCCGCCGCCGCCTGCACCAGCGCCGGCAGCAGAGGCGAGGGCCTCGCCTGATTTGGGTGCTCAACCAGCTTGGTAAGTAGGATAGTTCCCATGGTTCCAAGCGGGGTAACTGGGGCTAGTTCCCTTATATCCCTGGCCATAACCTGCTTAAGTAGCTTGAACATCTAAGTAGGGTTTCTCGGGGTTGCTACATAATGTGATGAGGCAAGGAGAACATTTTCCTAGCCTACAAGTGTGGTAGAGCTTGATTCCTTTCTCGTGCTCGGAGGAACCTACAGCACTCTGTTGAGGGGGCCCGTTTGTGTTTTCGACCACAAACAAGTTTTCTGGCAAACCAAAGGCAACAAAATGGAGGGCAGAAAACATGGAAAACAGGGCCCCCCCTTTGGTTGACCGCAAAGAACGAGATTTGTTCTCCACTCCGACCCAATTGGGCAGCGGGAAGTTCGGCAATGCCTGAGAAAAAGGAAAAACCTCTTCTCCCCCCTCTCCAAGGGTCCAGGGTTGTGGGAACGAGGGGTTGGTTCCAAATTCGGACAATTTGACCTGCGAATCTACTGTAACATTCCAGGGTTGTGGGGTCAAGCATGCTTGCTTTACTTGCAATATGCAGACAATCCACCGCAAATCCCGTCAAAACGATCCGCCCCAAAGCCCAAACAAAACGACCCCCACGCCTTGCGCAGGTCTTGCGCCAGAACCGCGGCCGAGGCCTTCCGACAAAGCTTAATTTTGGGTTCTACGACTATCCGATTTTGCGCCCGACTCATTTGGCTGTGGGTCAAAACCAATGGGATCCAGTTTGGGGCAGGTGCACCACCCATTTTAGAACCTATTTTAGTGTGGATTGGGATGTTCGCTGCTTGGTTCTAACAACTGGGCAAAACCCAGCACTGCTATTTCGCGCAAGCCATCAACACTTGGAGGTAGAACCTGGAATGCCACGACGGGTCCGCTGACCCTCAACACCTTGAACAGAACTCCCAGCAGCTGCAGCATCATCCCCAGCCAGCTGCCACCGGCCCAGCGGCCATGCCGAGAAACTATGAGCAATACCTCAGATCACCCCAGCGACCCTGGGATAGCCCACAACTCGAGTTCTGTCTCTAGGCTCTAACCGGAAAACCGGCGCGTCCGTGAAGAGCGAATCACATGGAACCTACACACGTGTAACGCTGGCTTCAAGTCTTCCTTGGGCAATCTCAAAATGCAAGCTGCTCAAGCTCCTTGTTTACCAACTTCCCTCTGGTTCCCCGAACAAAAGTCAACGGCTGGTGGCTTCAACCGATGTTCCCCGACCCTGGTGCTTGAGTCGCCCATTCTCCATCCAGGAAGCCCCACACATGCCCAGAGCTAGGCCTGGCAAGGGCCGTCTTCTGGACTCGTTTCGATTTGCCAAGCTCTTTGGGCCTGAAAGCGGGCAACGCATTTGCTTGTGCAAAAAATGCTCTTTGGGGTGCCTTGGAACCACCACGTTTAGAGTGCAATTTTGAGGATGGCGTGTTCATGGACCCAGCTGCTGCGTGCACCAAACAAATACACCATCATAGACCCCAGATAGCAAAACACATGCCAATCCATGCGCACCCGCACCTCCAACAGCACCCCCCGAAGAGCGCCCCAATCAGCACCCAGCCGTCAAACGAGAAACGCGCACGCTCCGTCACCAGCACATCAACAAGCTCCCCAAACAGGACCTACACCAGCACCCCAAACTGCACGCCCCCTAGCACCAGCCCATCAATCTCGCAAATCACTTTCCCCTCTTTACTAGAAGTCAGAACCCCGCTAGCTTTCAGCTATCTGGGCAACAAAGAGACTACCCCTTCCAAATCGCCACAAAGAAAGCATCAGCCTTTAAGCCCTCTAGGTTGGTACTGTGGTTGGGGCACGGGAATCTCCAAATCGCGTCTCCAAAGTGAACCTCACACCACAAGATGATAGTCGCCTGCAAACATCAACCCATCCCAGCGGACTCAATCCGACTTGGGGACATACCTATGTGTCACGGTCAGATTTTGTGATTCCCGCACTGGACATGGGTGAGTTGGGAGGGCAGACGCAGCGGCGGCTCTGACTGCAAACCAAAATACAACAGATGATGATAACAATAATGACGATGACGATGATCATGACGATGCACTGATGATGATACTGATGATGAAGTGATAATGATAGCAATGATCGTCATGGTGCTGATCATGATGCGATGACGGAGGACAATGACATGATGACGCTGACAATCCTGATGACAATAACGATGATGACAAGGATGACAAGGATGACAAGGATGACAAGGATGACAAGGATGACAAGGATGACAAGGATGATGATGATGATGATGATGATGATGATGATGATGATGATGATGATGATGCTGATGACGCTGATGATGATCATGATGGCGATGATGAACATGATTGTCCTCATGACCATGACCATCACCGCCACCATCACCGTTCACCGTCATTGTCGGCGTCGTCCTCCTATCAGTATCATCCTCATGCTCATCATCCTCATCATCCTCATCATCCTCCTCATCATCATCATCATCGTCAACATCATCATCATCATCATCATCATCATCATCATCATCATCATCATCATCATCATCATCATCATCATCTGATCATCATTGTCGACCATGACGATGACAATGACAATCACGATCAGTATCATGAAAATGATGATGATGACGACGTTGACGACAACGATGACGATGACGGAGACAATGAAGATTATGAAGACAATGATGATGATGATGATGATGATGATGATGATGATGATGATGATGATGACGATGAGGATGAGGACTTGGTGGTGGCGGCGGCGGCGGTGGTGGTGCTAGTGATGATGAGTATACTGGTGACAATCAAATCCTCTGCTTCCCAGCGCTTCTGGCCGAGAATTCGAGGTTCGGTCTCGTCTGGAACCGCACAAACGACTGGAGTTGTCGGCCGAACCTCGTGTGAGGACTGCCCGACACGCAACCGGTCAATTTGCCAGAGACTAAGCTTCACCTGGTATGAGTTTGAATCGGCCCCCCTGGTCGAGCGTGGAGACAGGTTCTTCATTGAGATTCATACCTGGATCCTCCAACAAAACAAAATGCCAAAATCACGGCCCCGCCTGGCCACCCACTAGTACGGCGCCGGCTGAGCACACAGAGCCCCGCCGCGAAGATGGGGGTGGCGCCTGCCTGCCGCGGAGATGGCGCGCCGTGGGTCGGGGATGGCCATTGAAGCCCTCCAGTGTTACGCGTGCATTTTCTGCAGACACACTCGCATGCAATTCGATGTTTCATCTATCTGAGGGCTTCAGGCAAAAGACAGGCCAAATGCTGGGGCGATTCCCAGCTGGATGGATGGGAATAGAAACGGAAATGCTCAATTAAACGGAATGTCCATTCGAGTGACATCCTCAAAATGGTCCCATCGAAGGTGGCAAACCTAATTTTGAGAACCCCTCAGAATGCATTTCCCACTTTGAGGGGCTGCAGTATTTTCCAAGGTACCAGGGCTCCCTTTTTAAGGCAACTAGGTTTTCTAGTAGAGAGGTTGGAATAAGGCTACCCTTTTCTCTGTAGTCTATTTTAGGAAAACCCTTGCAACCAAATGGGGGCCTACCTAGACACTCCATGACCCTTGAAAAATGGGTCCATGACCCCATTACTTTGGAGCACCCCAGTTTTTAAGGATCATGGAGACTCTAGGTAGACAACTCGGACAAAAACGACTCGTTTTCGGGGGGCCTGTTTTTCTGCCGTCTATTTTAGTAGGGGTTTCCCTCCCAACCAAAAAAGGGGGAGAAAGGGCACCTGGCTGGGCCCCTAGGCAATGATCTACTTTAGGGGGGCTCCTAATTCCGATTTGCTTGGAGCGGGCCAGAGCGGAGGCGGCGCTCACCGACTCGCCCATGCTGAGGGCGGCGGCGTAGAGGGTGTAGGGCAGCACCGTGTTCATCAGGCCGACGACGCAAAGCCGCGGGCCGTCCTGGCAGTCGAGCGACTTCAGACTTGGGTGACGTTGGAAGGGGAGCAACAATTTAAATTTTAGCAGTTAAGCGGGGATTTCTCACGCAACCACAAAAAGCAACAATCAGAGTGTACCCTGGCTAACCCCTAACCTAACCTCCGCCCGGCTGGCGGGGGGGCTTCGGGTTCGGGGTCCGGGTTCGGGTTCAGGCAGGGTCCGCCTGGGGGGGGTTTGGGTTTGGGTTCGGGTTCGGGTTCGGGTTCGGGTTCGGGTTCGGGCGGGGTCCTGTTTTTTGAGGGGGGGGGAGGGTTCGGGTTTGGGATCGGGTTCGGGTACGAGTTCGGGCGTGGCCCACTCAGCGGGGGGGGGGGGTTCTTCTTTTCCTTCTTGTTGAATCAAGACTCCACTCATAGGCAACATGTACAATGTGCAGATTCCGCTGCCATTTGGTTCACAATCACATGTACAGGCCTGGTGTGACTTGACACTACCTTGCGGTCAAACAAAAGTGCTTGCAGCATCTATAACATTATATCTCTTTCACCAACTACGCGGCCTATATACACTTGACTTCACCGGAATAGGTTCAGGGACAACCACGAGGTATTCTTTATTGGGGCACGATTGAGGCCCCGGTAATCCAACCTCCATCGTGGTAGCGGAGCAGGCCGACATGGCGGAGATATGTCCACCAATGAGGAGAACATCAATCTTTCGATGAATGCAAAATTGCCCCCATCGTTTGATGGCCGTGTTAGTTTGCTCCGGTATGAAGATCTGGTACGGGACTGGGTCACATTCACACAAGTCGAGCGGACTCTTGTTGAAGAATCGACTTGCCCATAATGCCCTTATTTACAGAGAGCTCCTGGACAACAACAGACTTGTTGATCCTACAAACGGAGTTGAATATTTCCTCACGACATTGAGAGGATATTGTCTAAAGGGCTCCCAGAATGTGTTCCTGCACAGATTCCTCAATTTCTGCCAAGATTGAGAGCATTTTGGGAAGACACCAAACTACACACAAGCCAGCCCTGAATCTGTTCAGGCGATTCAAGAGGCGAATCAGCGACGGCGTGAACAAGAGCAAGCTCAACAAATGATGGCAGGACAGGCGCGAGGAGCGGCTGCACCTATCATCCCAGATCCAGTCATCCTGGCTCCGACAGATCCTGCAGTATTCCAACAATTTGCTACAGGACAACAGACGCAGCACACACAGGCTTTTCCTTTGTCAGACAACCTTATTACCTTGTTTTTTTGCATCATCCAGAGCGAGTTGACAGAGAGCCAGAGAGAGCGATTGATCTCAGCCATGTCACTCCGAAACGTTCAACTTCCACAGTTCACATATGAAGCTGTCACAAGGCACAGTACCATGAACTGTTCATCACAACCCGAACCACTATTCAGGATCCGAACATCCGTCCTTGTGGCGGAAGTCGATCCCGAACCTTCTACGTTCTTGAAAGATGAAGAGTCATTCTGGCAGTTAGAAGACCATGATGCGTTTGTCCTACAGAAGATCAAACGATGAACCCTTAGACCCGGGAAGGGTGGAAAAGGAAGAAAAGGAAAAGGCAAGGGAAAGCGCCGACGGGGAGCTTTAACCCTTTCAGAAAAGCACCGACCGGCGGCAAGGCCAACATGGCCGATGAGATCACCACCGATCAAGCATACTGGGGAAAGAAATGCTCAAAGAATCCATGGTTCAACAAAGGGAAAGGGAAATCATGGAACAAGGCCAAGGACTACAAAGGAAAGGATTCCGGCAAGGACACCGACCAAAAGGGAAAAGGAAAGTCAAAGAGCTTTGTCACGGAACACACCACCGAGAACCAGGACGCTACACAGCATCCTGTGATTCAATCGGCAGAGCTAGTTTGAGAGGATTGGAGTATCACACCTGGAGCTCCTTTTACAGCAATTTTTTAACTGAAGAAGTTGATGCTAGTAGAAGTAGAGTCACCCAAAATGGTTTGACCTACGACATGGTTCCGCGTGCGACACCACAAAGAGCTCAGGCCCTGGCCAGCAAACTAATCAGGCCGAACATCCAACCCATGTCATCCTTGACAATGGTTGCACAAAGCCCATGGGCAGTTGGTACGCAATTGAACCATATCCGCATCGGATGACTTACGGCTTCATCCCTTGCAACACAAGGTCCACGTTTGCCAACTCAATAATCCAAGGTTGACTGGACTCTCCGACTGTACTTCAACACACAACCACCTATGGTTACCTACATTAGACATTCTAGAGCAAGGACAAGTACCAATCCTGCGCAGCATAGATCAGATGCGAAATCTTCACATTACCATTGAGCATACACCCCAATGCGACAAGATTTCATGCCAAGCATTCGGCATGCACAAGCAACCAGTGCCCATATCCAGTAGCGGCCACGCAATGTTTGATCTAGCAGCATTGTGCAAAAAGCACGACATTACCACAGCAGCAAATGCAGTCGATGACGACACGATCAAACCACTTGCACAACCATCTTTACTTGCCGCTGCAAATCTGGCCAAGACATCCGAGAAGAAGACAGCAGCCAAGGCACCGGCAGAAGATGGCACAGAGATCATCGGAGATTTGAACAACGACCACTGGATAATCAATCGAACAACCAACGAACTCCATAGAGTTCACAAGAGCAAGAGGAGAGCACTATTCGCACCTGACACAAGCAAGACCAATTCCGCTTACGCAGTTCCACAACATAAGAATCGCAAAGAAAAAGATGCCAGAGTCAGAAGAGCCAATATCAACTGGCGACTCAGGTCAGCAGCGACAAAGATAGCATCAGAGTTGTGGTGGATAGGCACAACAAAATTCAAGTTCTCGCCAGAAGAACTGAAGCACAAATGACAGCAGACAGGATCATACACACACCAGGCCGGCATGCCACTGAGCCAGCCAATCCTGTGCTCCGCCAGCACCGCATGCATCACCAGATGCACCACACAAACCACCAACTCTACCAATTGCACTTCAACGAATCCACAAGCCACTAGCAAAACCAGAAGAGCTACGCAAACTTCACCTTAAACATCACCACATGTCAGGAGAACAGTTCAAGTTCAGGACCCGCGCCATTTGCCGAAGGAGATGTATGATCTGTGCGACAAGATCCGCGCTGAGTGTGAACCCCTGTCAGGCGGCTGCAATTGCACCTTCCCGCAGCAGGACTAGCGGACTAAGAGCTGAACAATTTGGCGAATCGACATTCATTGCTCACTGTCAAGTTCCTTTAGGAACTGGTGAACACATCAATGTGCTAGTGATCCTTGATGGAGCCACGACCCCTCTCACTACTGAAGTAGTTGAGAGAACGACTGAAGAATCCAACCTTCCGTTGTCGCGCAACTACTTTGACCAATATTATTTACAACCCAATGTGTTGTTGGAGACCCAGCATTCATGACTCCGAGCTGGGAGTTATTCTACAACAGTCTTGACATAAGACCAATCTCTTTAGGTCCCAACACACCTTGGCCCAACAGAGCAGAGACAGCTGCCCGTCTCATCAAGAGACAAGTCTCACTGATGCTGAATTCCATCAAGACAGGCATAGCACCATCCCCGACACAGACAGCTTGTCAAGGCAGCAGCAACAGCAAGGAACCTATCAGTCACATATGGCGGCGTGACACCACTTGAGCTAGCATTCGGCAGAAGACCAGCAGAGCTTGATCAACTCGATGTAGCTACACTACTAGAACTTACGACTCCTAAAGCACAAGAAGAACTGACAGCAGGTCAGATCCGACACTTAGCACACCAATCATATCAAGAAGCCAGACAATCGGAAGATGTCCGTAGAGATCTTGCTCAACACCTGCGACCAAGTTCCAAGCCCATTGCGATCGGTGACAAGATTTTCTATTGGAGTGAGGACACATCCAAGATGAAACCTGATGCGAGAAAAGGATCAGGAAGTTTGTGGTTGAAAGGAAAGGTTATTTCCACAGATGGAACCATGGTTGGAATCGACCTGGGAACCCGCTTGCTGAAGGTCAACATCACCAAGATCCGGAAGGACAAAACTTTGTCTCCTTCCAAACCAGGACTTGATGCACCTTCACCAGAAGATGACCTTGTTAAGGACATTATGGTGGAAGATGATTCTCAGGTTCCAAAGACAAACAAGAGAATGACCAACAAGACAGCTCCTCCTGAAGGTGAACCCTCATCCTCATCAGGCTTCTTTACTGAAGATATGACATGTGATCACAACATGCAAATTGGAATTGCGTCACCAAGGGCAAGATCCATGTGCTTGAAGTTTTTGCAGGTAGCGCCAGACTCAGTCAATGTTGCGCCCTTACAGGACTCAAGGTCGGCATACCAATCGATATCCGGCTTCGATGTCATGACTTCCAAGGGAAGACAAATGGTCCTGGACATTATCCGTGAACAACAACCAGATGTTGTTTTCCTAGCTCCTGTATGTGGACCATGGTGGATAATGCAAAACATCAACAACCAGAAGATCGTTGCCGAGAAAAGAGCAAGATATTTGCGTTTTGTGGCATCCGTTGCTAGATACTGAATGAGCAAGGGACTCTATTTTATCATCGAGAACCCGCTGACGTCCAAGATTTGGACACTGTATTCCATCAAGAACCTGGTGAGAAGCTCCCAGGCACCTGGAGTGATCTAGATTCTTGTGCATTTGGACTACGTGATCTAGACATGCATCTTAGAAGCTTGAAGCTGACGAGTCTCATGCATAACCTTCCACCGGAAGTTATGAGACAAATTTTCAAGCGATGTTCCAATTATTGGAAGAGTGTGAAACACCAACATCAGCCACTTGAAGGGAACACGAAGAACCACGGAAGCAGAACCAAGCTTGCTCACATCCGTTTTCCTTTTGTCAAGATCTGGCACGTATCCTCCTCAGATTTCTCAAGGTCAAGCCTCTTTACAACGAAGTGTTCTTACTGGAGGACATCCTTGATTCGTTCACAAATGATGATGCTTCATCTATTCGTTCAGTTGGACAA